TAAGGGTGCATCTTATACACTGGTGCGTCTTATATTCTGAAAAATACGGTAGATCAGCCATCCTAAGTCATAAAAGAAAAGCCATGGTGTTAGATTAACATAGAATTTTTAACCTATCAGCAGAATATATTTATTTATTTATCATTACTTTTCCAAATTTTAATATAATTCAGATGATATTCCTTAAACTAATTTGTCATCTCTACATCTAAGGCTGTAATTCATACTTTATTACTTACTTACTTTTTGTGTGTGTGTAGCAACATTTATCACACAATCTTAAAATGAAAGATATTTATTTAAGTATTAAATGGAACATACGAATTAGGTACATAATTTTAATACATAATAGTCTTGAAATAAATTATAATAATTTTATTTAAAAATCACTTTCATCTGAGACAGGTTACAAATAGAATGAAAATGTATCATTTGTTGTCAGAAAATAGTTGTTTTGTTAGTATAAACAGTGCAAAATGACTTAGATTACTACCTCTTACATCTTATGATGAGAACAGAAATTTGTAAGTACAGTCTGAAATTATGTGATATAATTAAATGAATGATATTGTTGATATAATTTAAGCTCTACCAGTAAAGAGTTCATGGGTCTAATTTACATGAAATTGTTACCATTCTTCGACTATTAAATGAGATAAAAAATTAAGTGTGTTCTAAAATCAACAAATTAAATTTCACTTTATCTGAGAAATCTGAAATTTATTCACAAATTTACTGTTCCATTGCCCTCTTAAAAATGTATATAGATAAATGTGTATTAAACTGAGTGACAATGTATAGTGTTATAGTATTATACAGAGCTTATGAAATTGCAGATTAATGATATTTTTTTTCAAGTCAGATAGCTAAACTTTATTCTTATCTGTTTCATTAACAATTTTACTTACACATTACAGTGTATGTAAAATAACAAAACATGGTATGGGCACAACCTTATATCACCCTCCAATCTTAAACCAAACAAATTCTAGCATATTATGTATGGGTTCAAATATCCATGATTTTGTTTTAATTTCCTTAGAGGTTTTTAAAATAAGTTAGATTTTATGTTTGTTTGCTATCAACAGTATAGAAATTGGGTTTGTCGGTTTTTTGAATGTACATTTATAGAAGTTAGTTATATATTATACTTGAATGTTTTAAGTTATTATGGTGTTTTTTAATGAAAATATGAAACATGAATAGGCCTTTCTATAACAGACAGTAGAAAGAAGTAAATCAGTGAGAGCCAAAACCAGAGACTCTCGAGTTCAAGAATACTTTTATGGTCTTCGTACCCCACTTTTTCCACATGTGTTTGATGTAAAGTTTTCAGATATCAAAATATACAGGGTTGAAAGTAAGTTTCCTTTATTTTTATATTTTCTTAACTTTTTTCAAATCTATACATGCTGTTTTATTGTCAAATAATATCAGCAGCAGTTGATATCTAGGTTTTGCCTTTAGCTACAATGTATCATGTAATATTTTTAACATTATCGATAAATCTTTTCCTTTTTTTTCATGTTAAAATGTAACAGATCTTTTGGTAGTCTTTTCTAGTGAAATGCAACTATAAATGTGCACATGTTTTTGGTGCTTTTTATTTTTTTGCTATTAACCATATTGAAAGCTTTCCAGTTTTTTGACAGTAAAATGCAGTAAAAATGTAAAACTGTTTGAATGGAAATGTAAAATCCTGCCAGCTAAATAATAATGATGACCTGACATTTTGATTATCACTGGCACTCCTTGTCATGAACTTTGTTTAATTTTTTGAGGCCCTAAATACAAGTTAAAAGTTTCTAGATAATATACTTAAACTATTATTAAGTCAGTTTGAACTATACGTATAACAAAAAGTCTAATTAGTTTGTAGATGAACTAAAAGAGTGCCCAGTTTGTTTATTTCTATTCCCATTCATTTGTCATTACATATTGGTGTTTGGTTGACACAGGACACTAATTTATCATTAGGTACTTCTTTCATTTTTTTAGATATATATTAGGTATACCAATTTTGTCTTGATACTATCATTTAAAGATGTTTTTACAAACAATTCCATGATACTGCTACAAGATCTGTTTTGGAAGCTAACCTAGTTGTGGAACACATTGAAAATATGTATTTAACTTTCTTTTCAAATCCAATAAAATACTGGCAAAAATACATTGATAACAGTTTTTGTTTAGTTGATAAAAACTACACTTACAAAAATGCTCAAAATGACTACATTAAATTTGCAGTAGATATCTTACTTTCTTTATAGAAAGGAATAAGTGTGTTACAAGTGCACTTCATAAATCAATACTTACCAATAGCTATTTACATTTTACTTTGCATCATCCTAAGTCACATACATGGGTATCTGCATTAAATCACAGAATCAATATCAAAAGATAAAGAACTAAGTTTCATTCAAGGTATTCTGAAACAAAATGGTTATTCCTAAACCTTCCAGAAACATGCCATTTTTACCAAAAACACAAAAAAGGTCATGAAATTTCAAAAACTTGGATTATGCTTCCTTATATTCAGGATTTGGGTGAAACGTTATGTAGAATTTTTATTTTTGTGAATATCAGTACTTTTTAAGCCTTGTTCTTTATTTCGGTGTGTTTTTGGTGCCCTTTAAGAATAAGAAATGTCCTTAGAAAAACTGGGTGCTGCTTATTAAGTTGGTTGTAATGATTGTAATATTAAATACAGAGGAGAAAGTAGATGACAGTTAAAGGTTAGAATGGGGAAATAAAGCATGCTACAAAACAAATTTAAAAATTATAGTAGTCTGCTGTAGTTGAATATGTTTCTTTAACAGATTATAATCAGTATCTCATCTATTACAACAATGTAATAAAATATTTAGTACAGTTTTGTATTAATTGTATTGTGTATTTTATTGTTTCACATTCAAAATTATTTTTTATTATGATATAAAGCTTTATCTATGAGAAAAATATTTAATGCTAAAAAGAGTTTTGGTTGTAACAAGCAGACTTCCCAGTAATGTTCACATTTTTTAAAATTATTTATGTATTAGTTGATTTGCATTATTATGAATTTTTTGCATTTATTATATAATTAAATCCTAACTTCTAAAAGAACTCTTTAACAGTGTTATAAGTAACATCTTTAGGATAAAGCTTTTTTTAAACAGATTATGCAGAACAATCATGGACTAATAGTAATTTTATGCTAGTAATTAACTTAATAGAATATTTTATTATTGCAGATTCTCAAAAAAAAAAACTTTCAGTGAAACTCTTTCCAGTTGAGATAGGTAAGTTTATATGTGTACTTTTAACTATAAATTCTGCTGTTTTATCAGGGCTTTCTTCAGAAAAAAATTCAAAATGGGTCAGTTATTGCTTGTCAGTTCAGTCAAGGAGTGGAACAATATATCAGTATCTACCAATCTGTTGTAACAGTATAGTCAGTATCTACAGTTCATATATCTAGATTATCAGCATATTGATTTTGTGGGGGAAAAACCTAATTTTTTAGAATTTCCATTAGAATGCTTACATTATGTTGTGTTTTCTGTCTTTGTAGATACGTCAATTTTTATAGAAGTGTGTAGTTCTGCCACCTGGATCTTTAATATATATATGAAATGTAATTACATAACATAACATAACTGGAACATCAGGCTTCTCTTCAACATGAAAATACAAAATCAATAAAAAGGAACAAATAAACTTTAACTGTAGGTTGTTTGTTATTTTATGGGGTATTTTATTCTAAGTTATCAAAGTATAATTGCTGTCCTATTCATTAAAAAAGGTTACTTGCTGATCAAGTACCCATTTAGGTGTAAATATTTCTCTGACCTATATTTCTCCTTTCATAAGAAGCATCAGGGTGTATCACAATACAAATTTTCAGTATATCTTGATACAAATCATAAGAGAAATGAATCACTGATATACAGCCCTACAGTTCACTTTGTTTATTATATATATTGTTGCAATAAACATGTAACATATGACATCACAGTATATTTATATATAATTAGATTTAATTTTGTAGAGAAAGAAAAAGTAAATAAAGAAATGGAAAAATAAAAATGCAGCCACAACACTGGTGCACCAGTTATAGGATGGGTCATTATGTAATGTGTCCTGGTTTTTTGAGGTACTAGCAGAAGTAAGACCCAAATTGTGTTAAGGGTATATCACCTACCCAGTTTAACTTCAATTGCACCGGCTTCATGTGCTTTGAAAAAAAAAGGAGCAGATGTGTGTGCTCAAGCCCACACTGACCTTCATCTTTACCATCTTTTGCACAACTATTAAACAATGAATTTTAAATCTGTAGCTTTTTGGGTTTTTTTTTCACATGCATAGGTCTAAGTAAATAGTTGCAAGCAACTTACACTGGTCATTAGTGCTTAAAGTTACTATTTAATCACACTTTATTATATAAACTAATAGATTTTACTGACTATAATTAGTTTTATTACAATAAACTTTGTAAATAGAATTGCATGTTCATCCTTCGTGACCTATGGGATTTACTAGGTTGGTTATGCTTCATCATTACCTTTTGGCATTATCTCAAATTACCTGATACAACAATGGAAACTTACTCTATTCCATATATATAGATATGTCACAACATATTTGACACTTGTACTTTAATATTCATTGTACCAATCAGAAGGCCCTGTTCAGTTTTTGAAATTGACAACCTTACAAAAGATTATTGTACTCTGTATTATTTCTGGAATATAAATGTATAACTTTTGTGATTATTTATTAAATGCTTTTTGTTTATTTATAGTGTATTACTTCTTTTTACATGTTCAGATTTTGTAAATGATAAATGACTTTCTCGCTGCCAAGCAATTTTATTGTGGATGGGCATGACTACTTTTAATTTTATACATATTAGTAAACTTTAGAGTCAGATGGCACAACCAGCTGCAGCTGTTTAAGGAAAACACTGTTTTATTTTGGTTTAAAGCTCTTTGAGTACAGCCTAATTACCAAGTTTTGACTAGTAGATGAAGTTCTAGGTTTAGTTACAAGCTTAAAAGTAAGGTAGAAACTAGTGAGATAAACTGTTGAACCTACTAAATATATGTTTTAAAGAACAGATGTTTTTATTATGAAAACAATTCTATTGTAAAGACTTGTCTGATGCAGTTATGGGTAACTGTATTGCTGTTATACTTTAGATAATTTAAGTGTATATGTTGAATTAAGTCATTTGAAGAAAGAAAAACATTGCAAGCCAAACATGAGGGTTAAGTCTTCAAATGACATCTTTGGAGTCTGAATGGTAATTTAGGGTTGTTAGTGTACAGCTTTTCTATACTTTTCAGAACAGTTTCAACCCTGTTATCAGATTCACTTTAATGCTAACATTTTGTCCTTGATATTCAAATCATATTAGAAAGCAATAGGCTAGTTAACTGGACTTTATTATAAGCCTCGTGTAACACCAGTTTTCCTACATTATAACTCATATCGTCTTCAGCAAGTTATATGTTAATGTGCATTTAAAGCTTATTAACAGGATTTAAACATCAAGATAGGTAGACCAAATATCATAGAGAAATTTTTACAAAGACTTAAGTTAATACATTTATCCTCAACATTTGACATAGGCCTTAGAAACTATGAACTTAAGTTTCACAATAACAACACAGAAAGGTGTTGAGTGTCAAAAGTAAGTTCAACATAAATCTGGTTATTCCATTTATTAGTCCCAACATTTTTGTACAGGTGGTAAAAACCAGACCTTGATACAAGAGTTGCAGAAAAGTCAAGTAAAAACTTTGAAAAAGCTGTTAATAACATCAATCTTTAATTTAACTCTGTGGTGCTTGGATGAGTGCATTATGCCCCGAGTCAAAATTAGTGAAATTGAATTAAAGAATATAGAGAAAAGTAATTTGTAGTTCGTCTTCCACACATCAGAAGAGTTGAAATTTATTCAATAAAAAGTTTTATTAATTTTTATATATAAAACATTTGAAACAATTGTGAACACAAACATTAGTGTTTGTGAATTTCTTGATGTTTTTATGACCATAATATAGTGCTCATATCCTCCTGAGAGGAAAGTCTAAATAGTTTTGGACAACACACAGCTAATTTGAATCGTGTAGCTTCAACACAAATGTAATTTTATTCATTTTAGTCAATTACTGTTTCCCAACTCTAGTTGTCATGGTGTAATGTAATTGCCTAAGTCTCAGCTTCAACAAACTATAAGATAGTGATGTTACATATTGAAAATTTTAAATAATCCAAAGCTGAGTTAAATATTTTAAATTTTAATAGTTGAATTGTACCCTGTATTTAGTGTCTAGAAATATGCCGATATTTTATTTAATTTATGCTATTTGCCAACAAGATTGATTCACACCCTTTTTGTTTTTGACACAAATACGTTTTACTATATATACAACAGTACAATTTACGATAGCAACTATTATGATTAATTACTACAAACAAAGTTTCATAAACAGAAATTTCACTAACTTACAAATAACATAAAAATCTTCTTCCTAGTTCAGAGTTTTCTTGATATCCAGCGAGTTAACTTGAAGTCGATGTACGTACAATTGCTGAGAAGCTAGCTAGTTTTGTCAGACACTGAATTGTTGGACCACTGAAGTAAGATAATTATTTCATAAAACCACTAATGTCTGTTGAGAATCCAGTAATATTTTGGAAAGATACTAATATCTGATGATAATTCACTGATGTTTGAAATTTATAACTGTTCGTGGTCAAATGTCGTATATTTTCCGGTTGATTAGGGTTAGCAAAATCAGGATTTATAGCATACAGAGCTATGACAGGTTCCTAGCAGACTTATATGCTCTCTTCTTTGGCCTTGGTCTTTTTATATGTGTGGGAAATGTTTTTCTCAAAAGTTTGGACAACAATACTGAACTATATTTAAATGTTTATGGAAGTGGATATATTGTCAATTCTTGCGTTCACGAATATTATACAACCTTGGAGGATTGGTGGGAGTTTCACCATACATAACTAACATGGTAAGCTAGGCACGTTTGTACATATAAACTTAATCCCAACAAATGTTGTCATTAAAATAAATATATAACAATTCGTTGCACACAATACATATCTGACACTATAAGTTACGTATATTTTTAAATACAAATTTAATCTAAACAACGTTCATGATAAAAATAAGTACATAATAATAAATTCGTTACAATGATCTAAACAGTTAATGAAAGCTCTTTTTCATGTTCTTTTTAACTGTATAAGCCATAATTACTTTCAGTTCATCAGAAGTGCATGTAGAAATTGGAAAAAAAAGTGATAAAGCTTAACTTGGAGAAAAATTGCTTAAAGAAAAGATATTTGTGAACAATTTCTTCCACAATTACAGTTTTGATTATTTTTATTAAAGCTTGAGAAAAGCTTACTTTATCATTTTGTACTTTATTTGAATTATAATATTGTAATACAATAAGACTAAAAATGTTTTTGATTGAGCAAGATGAAGTAGGCTTAGTTATATCATATCACTCAACCATATCAAATTTCCTTTTGCTGACAAGAATGCTTTTTGTTAGGCCATATTTACATTAGGCTTTATCAGCATAACTAACTGCTTGAATGGAAAAAAGAAAGTCACAGAAGAGAAATACAAAATATGTATATATAAATAAAAAATTAATTTAAATCTTATTCCATATACTAAATGAAGCAATTTACAAAATTAACAATTTTATTAAAGAATCTGGCTTGTTTATAATGTTAGTATGGTAAAAAATAGTTATTTTTATTTTATTTCAGTGTTTATTGTTTTTAAAATAAAAAAAGGATAATATTTACAGTTTGCTAAAATAAAAATTTAAAAGTAATATTTGCTAATGTAAGAAGACATAAAAATCAGTTACTGAAATCTGCAAAGAAAGTATTTTTGTTTCAAAAAAAAATACCTTTCTAAATTTCCGAAGCTGCAAGTTCATACAAGTATCACATATAAAAATAAATTACAGCACATCTGATATTGACATTTTGTAAATTATCACAGTATTTATAAATGGAAAAAAAGATTTTCCAATACGATATCCTACCTCTTCTCATAAAAAGCTTTCTTGACTTATACTCTATCAGCACAAATTTGTGTTTGCCCCTAGCCTTGATACTCCCATTTATTTCTACATGCTAACATGCAAATAACAATGCAGCAACCCTCCACCAATATGAGTGTGACACTATCCCTAATGAAAATAGCTCCCTATCTAATCTTGCATGTTTTAATCACTTTTTGATTGGCAGTCTT